TTTCACCCTTTTGCATTAAGAAAGTAATCAGCTCATGCGATGGGTGGTGTGATTCACACTCATTTGTGTACAGTGTGTACACGATGGGTGAAAGAACATACCCCTGTGGAACACCAGTGTTTGTGTACTAGAGAGGTGAAGTAGTGGAGTTCAGTTTAACCGAATGCCCTCTGTTTGACAAACAAAAATCAAAAATCCATAAGATAAGTCTACGGTTGACATTGAAACTAGTCAATTATCCACACCTCTGTGAGATCGGTAGGCACACTGGTGGTCATCCATGGACTCATTAACTTGTGGCAATGATCTCTACATGTTTTTTTCGAGATAATAAAAGGTGCCCAGGTAAGGGCCAGGGGACGCAGATCGTTCATTTTTTGTGAGTGAATTGTTTTTCCGTAGGACATCAAAATCTGCATTAATCGACTAAACTGTGACATTGAAAGAAAATCACTGATAATGCAAAAGTTTCGTTTTCAATTCTGCATTTTAAAGATGCGTTCCTCCTGATCTGTAAAAGAAATTGTGTTGATTGTAACAAATTTCCAATTATGTGTATGTGTTTTATTGAGGTATTATTGTTTTACCGATTGAAGGCGTCTACAACTCCTCTAAAGAAATACTAGGTATGGTGTTCCATATGTGCCATTGGCGTTGCATTTTTCGGTGTCACATTGTTAAGCTCTGGCGGGGATTATTTTTGATCGATTTCTTGCAAGTCTTCTTGCAACACGGCCAGAGCTTATTGTACATCTGCCGCCCTTACATCTTCACTTATATGAATATCACAATGTAAAAGAAACTCATCTATATTTCCAAATGATCTAGCACTAAGAATACATCTTTAAAATGCTTCATGTATTTCCGTATATAGCTGAGAGCGGAGACTCACTAGGTAAGGGTTTTTCTTTTTGAAAAGTGAATCCAATAATGTTCATTGAAAACAAATTATTGTGGATACAGTGTGTTCATTGACTTACTGCCGTTCATTTCAATAACAATGAATACAAACTGTTTTCCACAAATTATTTTCCAGTGGGTTATTGGGGCGCTGTTTCCATTTAATGAGATTTCAAGTCCATATGGCATTCCGTTTCAAACAGAGCAGGGCGTTTCTCAAGCAATATTGTGAATTTTCATTCCAGTCTCTTTGACTAAAGGGTGTTTATTGAGATGTATCTTGTTTTGTGCTAGACGCGACCAGATGCGACCAGATGTGCCAAAATAAAGCATTGGATACGCTACATCAAGATACATCCTTCAACCAAATATAACGATTTTTATTACGTTTCTGATACTTCTATCCGTTAACCAAATATAACGATTTTTATTACGTTTCTGATACTTCTATCCTTTAACCAAATATAACGATTTTTATTACGTTTATGATACTTCAACTGAAGGTAAAATGGTGCAACTAGTTAAAATAATTAATAAAGACAATCAACTGATTTTAGTCTTCTATTTAACTTTAAGTTATTACCCAAAGACCGCTACAAAATGAATTCATAAATTGTCATCTTTGTATGAGTACACCGATTTCTACTAGTCCAAGTGCATTTTATGTTTTCGGAAATGAGAGGTCCTATTTGGTACTGTGGCGATCCGACTCGAAACGAGAAAAAAAATTAAGCCTTGAGACAAGTCTATTGTTTACTGTTTACAATGTGTGCAACACTGCAACCACATTACTGTGACCATGCCGTGCATGCCATGATTAGCATTTCGTCACCGTTTTCACGAAGAGGCGAATTTAGTATTTCACTGTCTGAACCCAATATATTTAAGATAATCGCGTTTAACCCTTTTCATTTCACAATTTGAAGCTTAAAGATGCATAAAATATGCAAGATTTAGGTATCGGAAGAAAGAAGAGATCCCAACCTTCCTCAATGTAGCTAACTTCAAGAAAAGTAGGTGATTAGTTTTGCAGGATTAATCAATTAAGAGAAGTGGCTGTTCGTGAAAACGAAAAAAAGACCAATTAGCAAATTCGCCTCTTATTTTTTTGCGCCTTACCAGGCCGTAGATATTGATATATTTATTCCGTTTCACAAAAAAAACAAATTTCGAAAAACTGACGATGTTCATGAAATTCGCCCCTTCGTGAAAACGGTGACGATTTGTTTATAATCATTGTATATTTGAATATCCCTGCCATGATAATTATGAAACAATGTCTGTAAATTGTATTATGCTGAATGTGGGCCGAGTGCTTTAATCTTACGCGATAAACTTCGGCGTACTGCACGGAACTGTTCTCTGTCTTGCTGGAGTCGATTTTGCTCAGACGTATTAAAGTGTCATTTTCTCCGCAGATCTCACTTATTTTGCACAGTTTATTCACCGAAATACCTTATTTCGAGCTAATCATGTTAGGAATGCAGGTGCATAGAACATGGGCACCGAATGTGGGCTCAAACTAAAATCAAAATCTGTCATTTTGGACAAGATTTATGTGCTGCATTTTCGGGAACGTTGTGTGGAGAGTTTACCGCGTGGCTTTCACGTGAGGCATACGGCTGTTTCATGTATGGTCTCGACGGCTATTTAAGTATTCGGTCTGTGTATTGTTTACGCAGGTTGACTCTGTACGTGGAGAGAGCAGATTTGCACAGTGCACATCGCATACTATGTTGTAATCAATACTAGCCCATATTAGATACCATTAAATACCCATACCATAACAAAATGCCAATATTAGCCCATGTCCATAGCCCATAGGATATCTTAATTAATACTAGTCTAGACTATACCATATTACACTTTAATTATTTGATGTACCTAGACTATCGCTAGACCATTACTTACTGAAATCATTGGCAAATAGTGATTATTCATTGTTGTTATCTCACCGTCATATTTAGCTGATGTGAATTATTGTAGTTCATTATCACAAATTGAATTTTGAGCTGATAGTGATACAGTGCTTACAAGAATGGAACACTCTTTGTAATCAGGGTTCAGCGCCATATACCTTGACCACTTTTCTAGCGTCGTATACAGGATTTAGCGCCATCTACCGTACTAGATAATTTGTGTACGCTGTTTATTCCTGACAACTTTTCTAGACAATGTTAATATTTCTCAGCAATTGTCATCAACTCACTTAAATATTTGATAAACATTTTATTAAATCGTTAGAAACATCTTGACAGTAAACATTGGCTTCGATTCGTGCTCATTTCTGATTGTTTTCCTCTTTAATTGCCAGAGAAATCTATTCTTAACGTATAATTAAGCGGACTTCCCACGTTAGGGCAGCAATTCCCGACACGTAACCGTGACAGTACGATATTTCTTTTTCACGTCAGTCGGTTTTTCTATTACTGGAATTGAGATGCTAGTAACAATTTTACAAAGGCCTGTTTTCGAGGGTGCTTTTCTTAAGAAATCAGGGTAACAAAATTCATTGCAAATTTTAGATTTTTTGAACGTTAATTTTATCTATTCAAGGGTTCCAGAAGCGCACCACCAGGGGTGCACTTTCAGGATAATTGCCTCAGGAGAGAGGATTGCTCCATAGATCGTCGACATAATGATTGTCGGATTTTAACAGCGTCCCCATTCAAAATATGGTACAAGGCCCCCCCCCCCACACATATTGATTTTTAGGAGGCCCAGTTTCCGGAGAAACAAAACTTGTCTACATTTCAGCATTGATTTGCTGATAAACGCCCCCCCCCCCCCCGCAAAAAAGTCCTGGGTCCGCCCCTGGGCTCACGTGCTCCAAGGTGTTTAAAAGTACAGTTGGCGAATTTATAGTTCGTGTTCCACTACATCATAATATTCCACTTTTCTAATTTACTACATGCTAACAATGACGCTGTGTATACATAGGCCCTATATGCAATCAAATTGTATATTTTGTGTTTACCCAAAACCTTTATGATTCAGACAAAAATGTAAATGTAATTACTGTTAACCATCAGTTTTCTTCCAACTGATTTATTGTGTCTGCACCGACGTAGATTAATACATGTGGACGTCTGGCAATAGGTATAAACCAAATCAGAACCGAAACCGATCTGAACTCCCGTAATAATGTGATCCGACCCGACCTGACGAAAATTCAAGCAAAGACCAACCCGAACCGACCCAAAACCGACTGGACCCGAAAAATACCGAATATCTGGCTCGAGCAACTGGGTCCACTTTTTGTGCTTGGACTTTGTACCTGCTTGCGTAAAAATTGTCGTATCTCAGTAAAGAATCATACCGTGACCTAGTAGTGCGGCCTACACGTTATAGACTGCGTGATAGACCGCAAACCACATGCACATTCGCGCAGTTGCGTAGTAGGCACTAGCCTTGGTCAATGCTCTCGTCGTTATTCGTCCCGTACGTACGCGGTCAATCGACGGCATACATGTATATCCTCACGCGCTATTCACATGCATGTAAAAATACAGCGCGAACATTGACCTCACGCGGCCACCATTTTTATATGGAAATCAGTTGGGGATGATCGAGAGCCTTGGTTCAATCGTCCATGTGAGGTTTTGGGGGTGGTGCTTATTATGTTAATAGCCTTAGCGGACCTTAAATGTCGTTTTCTTATTGGTCGATCGTTGCGTGGAAACTTGCATAGTGAAACGTGGCACCGTACACAATCCATACACGTACACGTTGTGTGTCTCTGCACACGGCACCAATGCACAAAAACTGTGGTTCCTGTCACGTCTGCAAAAGGCGAATAGCCGCAAATAATTTGATGACGTCCGGATTTACCAAGGTGTGATTGGACACTCCACATATTAGCCCCGCCTACACTTATCTGTATTCGCATACGAGGTCGTGCGCTAGAAATCCAGCGCAAAATAAAGAAAAACATAAGCTTTTGCCGACGATTGAACCAAGGCTCGAGATCGTCCCCAACTGATTTGCATAAAAAAATAGTGGCCGCATGAGGTCGCTGTTCGCGCTGTATGTTTACATGCATGTGCATAGCGCGTGAGGATATATGCCGACGATTGACCGCGTACGGGACGAATAACGACGAGAGCATTGACCAAGGCTAAGTGGGCACAGTAACTGGGTAAAATTATTCCATCGCGTAAATTTTGAAACTGTTTCATTTTTTCCGGTTTATTTTGGTTTATTTCGGGTTTTCCAAAGATAGCTTAACCGAACAGACCGGACTCGAAGTCAGTTTTGGGTCGGATCGGTTTCTGCTCGGGTCGGATTTGCACAACATAAACGCAAGTGCCTCGGCTTTTATGTTCATTTGTTTTGTCGAAGTTTATCTTGTGTCAATTTTCATGAATGACTGCTGAATAGTAATGTTGCTTGGTAAGTTTTTATCTTGGTCACATGAGATATTATGTAGAGAAGAATTATTAACCCAAATGTTAAATTGAAGCATTCTGAAAATAGTACATCCACAGATATATGACATAGGTTTTCCCCAGAATCCAATTTGTCAAATTAAAAAAAGAAAAGAAAAAAGAGCGTTAAAAGCTAGTATTTTCCAAGATAGCATCGACGGAATTTACTCAGGACTTTCGCAGCCGACGACCTCAAAGCGCATACAGCAAACTTGATTCCACGCTTTTGGCTCGATACGCAGGAACCTGGCTCGGACGGGCTCCGGGAAAGTACTGTTCACTGGGGTGTATTTGTCCGAGTTTCCAGTGAACTGTAAGGAATACACAACATGGAACGGATGTTTCAAACTAGCATTAAAGGTTGACGAGGACGAGTTTTACCATGCAATTGAAACAGAATGGGCACAGGGAGCCCTCACCATTATTTCATGCTTATATACTTCAAGGGCTGTATAGAATAAGTAAAATATTTCAGGGTTAAAGGCATTTAGAACACTAACACAAGACAGCAGATTTGTTGACTGGAAATTGATCGATCTGACAACAAATCCAAACTTGGCCCTTTTTCTTCTTAGATATACTCTCTTTTTTCAAGCACTTTGAATTACAAGAGTGATGAAGGATAAGTGCTTACTTGTGCGAACGTCTTACCACCCGACAACCAAGATTGCCTGGGTCTACTAGCTAGCTCGGATCTGAGCTAGCTTAATGTTCATCCAACATCTTCACTCGTAAACATGAGGTCGTGAGTTTGTGTACCAGCCGACAAATAAGCTTGATAATGTAATCTAAACCCCCGAACAACACTTAGTATACAGTGTTTATGTCATTACATTGGTAAAAATGCAAAATTGAACAATGTGATTGGACTATACCGTCATCTGTATTCCTGATCTACCATCGGTGACGCCAGTCCATTCTTGGCCCGCATCACTGTAGGACACTGTGAACTTCTTCACCCATTGTTGGTAACGATCAGTTGCGCGTCCCTGGGTTATAACGCCAGTGATGATCATATAGCGACCGAATTCGACTTGGATCCACGGATCGTTGTCCCCTTTTGCTTTACACCAGCCTGTTATCCCTCTAACTGCAGAGAAAGCAAATAAACAAACCTTCTGAATATAGAAGGTTGCTTAGCAACTCTTGCAGTGTAAGCAGATAAGTAGAACACACTAAATAGCAAACTTTATGTGCTCAGCAACAATAAGTTGGGAACCAACCACAAGCACTACACCCGGTAACAGCCACACTTGTAGAAAAGTCAAATAATCATAGGGTATTTCAAAACCAATTTTATGTGCTTAACCAAAACCTGCCTGGAACCACTCACAAGCAGTTCACGTCACACAAGTATTTGCTGGTGATGTTTAAAAGAGGAACTTGGCTATGTTCGAATGAGGAACTTGCAAAACTTGTGAAATTGTTGCAAGCTTAAAATTAAGCAAAATAGACTTCACTTTGAGGCACCATCCCTCGTGGTAAATTTTTAAAACTTTGGCTTTTTTGGGGGGGGGGGGATTCACCTTTGACGAAATGCTATGTTGTTTGAGATGTCATATTGTTCATCCCATGTAATTATTATTATTATTACTGGTTTATTAAAATCTGTTCATTGCAGCCAAAAGGCTGAATTGTGACACAGATGAACATTAAAAATGAAAATTACATAAAAAATGTATACAATTAAGGCATTAAATTTAAGTGTTAAGGATAAAACCAATAAACCAACCAACAGTAAGAGAGAGATTTTAAAAGAACATTACACAGAAAAACAGAACAAGACAAACTTAGCACACAAAAAACCAAGCCAAACTAGTTTACAAACAAGGAACAAAAGCACACACCCAAAAAACAAGAACAAAAACCATACAAGACAAACAAAAGATAAACAAACAAACAAACACCCCAACACCCCAACAAACACACAAAACAAACAACAAACAAACACCCCAACATTCATGTTGAATGAAAAGAAAATGAATAATTACATTGAAAGTTAAGCCGAGCCCCGTAGGGTCCCATATCACCCCGGTTGTCGTACATTGACGAAGCTGTGATGTTTTGATCTTGGATACCACGACCTTCCATCCCAAGGGGTCGAGCTTCGGAGCACTCCAAAACACCTGTTGGGGGTTTGTTAAGTAAGTTTATTCAGGGTCTGGCAGGTATCGTTAATAATCGCTCCAAATGCCGTTTTTTATGGGCAGCCGGACGCGGATTCCTCCCTCTCCTGATCTTGGAAAGGCGTTGTACATTGGCCTTGTAGCTCAATCGGACAATGTGTTTTGGAAGTGATGATAATACAAATGTTTCACTCCTCAGTCCGGGAATGAGTGCAAATCGGTATACGTTTTCTTTACGTTTTATAGATTTCTTTTTGTATCCCACGGCCGTTTTACTGATAAAAAGTACGCCCTTTGTTGGCAAGTTGCAGTTTAGTGGTAAAATCACGTGACAGCTTGGCGCTATGCATTAAACATTTACGCCCAGCGATCCTTTTGTTGCATTGGTGGACTTAAATACCCCGCCAATGATGCACGGATCCTAGACACCAGGATAAACGACTGTTCTAAGCTCTAGTACAAAAAGCACTCAGTGGACTTGCCTTAATTGGTTAGACGCGTGATAACGGCATTAATACCCGTTGGCGCGTAATCGCGAATGTTCCAGATGTGCCATTGTGTAGGGTTTTGCACGACGTCTAAAACGGAAATATTCATGAAACTGTAAGTTAAACTACTTCTTATTTAAGATATAATTGTTCCAAATTATTTTAAAAATAAATACTTCAGGATATAACAGATGGTATTGTGCATTTTTTGTCGTCATAGATGAAGTATTTACCCGGGAAATAAACGTCAAATTTCGAGGAGAACACCGTTTACCTAAATTTCGTTTTTAATTAGGCTTTTATTAAAAAGTTTTAGAGAGATAGGATGCCGAACCGATGAAACAAAAGCGACATTTCATTGTTCATCTTAAAGCTAAAGATATTGTGCTAAGCGTTACCATGGTTATGTAGTTATCACTTATCAGAATTCAATAATAAAGACCAAAAACGTAGACGAATGAATAATCAAAAATATAATGCGCTTGCTTGACAGACTTCGAGGCCAGATCGGGCGAAGAGCCTTACAAATCTGAAAGCCACCGCGCGCGGTGGTCTTTGTTGAAAAGTATTCATGGTATTTGCCACCAGTACAGGCCGTTATCACATTACAAACAGTTAAGTCGTATCTTCCATAGACAACCACGCGCGTGTACATGTAGTGGCATGAACACGACGCGCTCTACTCCATAGCGATTCTACACAAAGCAAAGAAAAAGACGGCCTCACGGCTGTTTCCAAGACTTTCAGATTAATGCACACCGAGTTTAAACTAGAAGATATTGTAACGAAACATTGGACATAGTGCCAGTCTAGGGTACTGGTGCCCGCGTCGGTGGTCTCCGCACTGCTATTGTCAATGCACGCGCTGCCCGCGGGTATAAAAGTGTGCGTCAGCCGCGCGCGCGATACTCACTCACTCGGTCAGTAACAAGTGGAGTCACAAGCAGAAGCGCTTGACACGAGTTAGTTCGTGAGTGAGTCGTCAGTCAGTTGCATGCAGGTCTGACAGCGCTGCGATTGATTATCCGATAGCGAGTTAATCCAGAAGTGGGACCAACCGGACGGGCTGCCTTTACATCACTAGTTGGTGAGTTAACTGGCCAGGAAGAGTTAGAATAAGCAGCCAACATTGTGTCCACGTTAGAATTAGCGATAGACGCCTATATAGGAGGCGCCTGTTAAGGCGCAGACAATAAAACACCATTGTTAAGTTATATCAAGAGGACTGTGACTTAAAGCCCGAGTCCATCATTTGCAGCTATCCAAAAAAGTAACCGGCGTTATTATTGTTGAAAACATACTGGTTGAAAGACAGTAAGGGGACTAAACTCCCTGTGAAATTATTCTTTCTGGCAAGCTCTCATTTTGAAGAAATCAACGAAAGAAGGCATTTCCAACAGTGCTTCTTAAGAAGCACCGTAGGAAAATTTAAATTAGTTGTTCGTTTTGTTATTCGGCGCAGCGCGCACAAGCATTGGAACGACGCACAGGCGCCCGCGGTTGCTATAATTCGTTGGATCAGTGCGCAACCATCGCGTAAAGCTGCAATTCAAAACAATTCGGAACATGATTTAGCAACTTTTGATTTTAAATTGAGATCCTAGAATGCTGTTTTTCTCGGAATATGAAGCTGAAGCTGAGCTGAAACTTCATCAAGTATGTTGTTTTTTGAACACTTTTGTTGCTTCAAACGAACAAAATGCACTAATTACAAATGATGGACTATAGCTTTAATCATTGTCTCCTGTGAGTTATTGAGCCTAATAGGGTAAGAGTGATTGAGTGCGAATATCTCTGGTCCACTGCAATGCCTGGGGGTATTCTTCCTCCAAACGAAGTAACGTCCCTGGTTTCCCGGTAACCGCTCATCGGGGAAGCCTAATCCTGTCAGCGTCCGTCCGGCGGCTTCTCCCGGCTGGAGGCAGGGACGAAGGGTAGGCGGACCGTTACAATATATTACTTAAACATTCTGGAGGAAAAGTTTTACAAAATGAACAACCATACATTCGTACCTGGTACGTTTTCCTACTTGTGACAACACGCACATTTTGACTAACAGCAGAATGAGTTACGGAGATTTACACGTAATTGACAGCGTGACTGGCGGGCTACCGCAGTGTGCGCACTGCACTGAAAGTTCCCGGATTCATGACGCTCCGTTACTTCAAGTAATAAATGCACACTTGGCACTGTAAAGAGGATTTTGTAAGCTTCATTTTGATCGGTCATTCAATGCAGTTGGTAAAACTAAGACCCCGTACCAAGGACCAAACACATTTGTTTACTCATCAGTCCTTTGGCCGCCATAAAATACGGCAAACATCATTTTGCTACGCTCCACCACTGTGTTGTTACAAAAGGAACAACTCCGCGCGCGCGCGCCCGCCCTATCAGGCGATGGTAGACTTGTACTGACACACACGGCGTATTCCCTCATGCAAGGGATAAACGCAATTGCTGCGACAAAAAACTGTTCCACACGCACTTCACGTAATCAATAACTGACTTAGTAAAGCTGAATACTGCTGTTCATGTTGCGACTTGCCGTGTACAAACTGTTTGTATTGACGCGTCTAACCAGGAGTTGGGCGAGTCGTTAATCCTTGTGTGTAGGATCCGTGAATGATGTAACAAATGATTGGTTTGTTAACACTAATATGCAACAGATTGCCAAATAAGTCTTGAAAAACCCTCTGTAGCGGCCAGAATATCCGTTTGCATTTGTTTGCTTTGCGCGAGTGCAGCGACTTGCGTGTTGTGCATTAATCTTTTCTTGTCTCCAGAGGGCGCTGTTTCGCGCGCATCACCTTTTTTATCTCGCCATATTTCGACAAGTTAACGATAGAAATTCAGAGACAAATTGCCGTTATTTTGCCATTAATTTTGTAAGACTTTGTCAGCTCAAGTGAGTATCTGTCTTTATTTGAAGATAAGATATAGCCATTTATTGATTAGGTTTATTATCCAAAGAGGACATATAAATAGGAGTTTTGGTCACAAATATTTCCATGTGGGTAGGACGCTTCGCCCCTTTGAGTGGATGAGGGCGCTGTTCATGTAGTTCATGTCGCTTGTTTATGGCATTGTTTGGACAAGTTTTTTGGAGTTAAAGTTATACAAGTGTCCATAGCAAGAGATATATGGATAGTTGTGTACATGTACATGTAGTAGGACAGGGTGTACACAGACACAGGATTTGGATACATTATTTAGTAGTTTTATTTCTCTTTGTATTTATTTAGTCGAACCACCAACCACCACTATCACCAACCACCACTATCACCAAACGCCACTGTCAATGTAGTATCACCACCGTTACACCAGATTACACCAAGTTATTTACGGCAATTTATTTCAAGTCACCGAACCTTGTCATCTATTTTGTCACTCGCCACCAAGTCACAGTATTATTGATTTTAGCCACCAAACTGCCCTTTAAACTGTCGGTGTCACCCCAATTATTGAAGTTTGTCACTCTTGACATTAAAGTCATCGTTCCAGTTGAATTTACATCTTAATTTGTCATCGGTGCGTCTCATTGCTGAGAAACATTTTTTTAAATTTTTTTTATTTTTGACGATCTGTAGCGCGGAGGCTACACCCTCAATGAAGCTATAGTACAGTCGATTGATCGCCATCGGTCGTGCACAATCTCTGACCTGTGTGCTTTTTGTGTGGCGTGGTGACTCGTGACCCGGTGTGATTTTGCGAATGCGGGCTGTCGTTTCCACTACGAAAAAAACATCATTTTTTTAAATTGAATTCCGGTGGAATGTACAATGTGTCGATATATCAACAAATTGGTAATCTATGTTAACGTTAATATGGACGAAAGATTTTGGCCACATTGCTTTCGTGAATTTTCAGCCAAGATTGAGAGTGAATGAAACGGGAGATCGTCAAGTCGCGACGTACGTGTAGGCAGTGTAGTGTACACATAGTCATGGGGAATTTCCGTCATGGTCGGGACCTTCGTCGTGCCCTTGTTATGGTACGATTTCGCGGATTCAGACAGAAATCTCTCAGTATACAGATTATGTATTTATTTTGCTCAGGATATGTAATTTGTGTTAATTCATAGGCGACACAACCTTTTTTCCCACGCCTTGACACGACCAGCCTTTATTGTCACACATGAAACAGTCGTTGTGTAGGCGCATTTAACAATCCAAAAGCACGCACTATGAAACTGCACAACGACTCTTATATGTACAAGACTCTCATCTAAATACTATTTATACATAAGTATTTTCTCCTTGGGTCATATTACTTGCATTTTGCAATACTTACCCCCAAAATCATCACAAATAATCGCATGGAAAAGAATGTTGCAATCTGACGCTGCTCTTTTCTTCCTATATCATATTCATGAAGGTCAGTCATTTCAGTTATTGCAAAAATGATGACAAGACATGAATCTGGGAGTGGACTGAGAAACATTTCCAATATTGTTAGGAAATACTTTACTCTCCATAGACTTTGTACACGACCGCTGAAG